TTCCCTGATGATCTCTCTGGCCTATGAGCGGCACTGCTCTGAGCTGAGCAAGAGTGCAGTGTCCAACCCAGGCAGCAGAACAGAACTTGGAACAAATAGCTCAGCACAGAGAAACAGAGGGACAATGGGATGGGGCCCAACCACTTCTGCAGACTCTGGAGCTCACAGAATGCCGGACCAGCTCAGCAGCTCTCATTGTGGGAGATAAGTGCTGTTCTTCAGACCGTAGCTTAGAGGCTCCAGAGAGAAACGCCCACATTCAACCAGTGCTGAGAGCCTTTGAGGACATGCTGAAATGGCCCTGGGAATGGTCTGAGTCCTCGTCACCATTCAATTTTACATCCAGCAAGAAGTGAAGGTCTGGGGCCCGGCACAGTGGCCTAGTGGCTAAAATCCTTGCCTTACACAAGTTGAGATCCCATATGGCTGCCAGTTCTATCCCTGTGGCCCAACTTCCCATCCAGCTCCCTGCTTGTAGCCTGGGAAAGCAGTCAAGAATGGCCAAAACCCTTAGGACCCTGCACCCATGTGGGAGACCTAGAAGAGGCTCCAGGCTCCTGGCTTTGAATCAGTCCAGCTCTGGCCATTGTGGCCACTTTTGAAGAGTGAATCAACTGACAGAAGATCTTCTTCTCTGTCTCTCCTCCTCTCTGCATATCTGCCTTTCCAATATAAATAAAATAAATCCTAAAGAAAAAAAAAGTGAAGGTTTGCTTTGCTTTAAAGGTGGGGGTGAGGGCCCGGCGCTGTGGCCTAGCGGCTAAAGTCCTCGCCTTGAACGCACCGGGATCCCCTATGGGCGCTGGTTCTAAGCCTTGGGACCCTGCACATGCATGGGAGACCCGAAAGAGGTGCCTGGTTCCAGACTTCGGACTGGGCAGCACCATCCATTGCGGTCACTTGGGGAGTGAATCATCGGATGGATAATCTTCCTCTCTGTATATCTGACCTTGTAGTAAAAATCAATAAATCTGTAAAAAAAAAAAAAAGAGGTGGGGGATGATCCAAGCACATCGACGGGTCGCGGGAGATACACTCAGTGATCTGCCTGGGTGTGGATGGGTGACAGCGACAGGCTAATGGCAAGACCCAGGACAAGGGTGGCAGGGGAGCGTGGACAAGAGGAGCCGGTGAGGAGGGCAGCTGTTGATTTCAGAGCAGGGGCGTCCAGCAGGAAGACAGCAGCATCACACAAAACAGTGACCTGGACATTCCCACAGGCAGTGGTGTCTCTGCTGGCCTGATCTTAATTTCTTACCCGCACTCAAGTTCTGAGAGCATTTCGTCTGGAAAAGGTAGTGGAAAATTCTGCTGGTGTCAGCCCTGAGTTACTGCATTTTCTTGTCATTAATTCCTTCAAAAGATCATGGTATATTGACGGGATCCTATGAGGATATGGTACTCAAATGATTTATTATGGGCCCGGTGCTGTGGCCTAGTGGCTAAAGTCCTCGCCTTGAACGCACCGGGATCCCATATGGGCGCCGGTTCTAATCCAGGCAGCTCCACTTCCCATCCAGCTCCCTGCTTGTGGCCTGGGAAAGCAGTCAAGGATGGCCCAAAGCCTTGGGACCCTGCACCTGTGTGGGAGACCCGGAGGAGTTTCCAGGTTCCCCGCTTATGATCGGCACAGCACGGGCTGTTGCGCTCACTTGGGGAGTGAATCATCAGATGGAAGATTTTCCCCTCTGTCTCTCCTCCTCCCTGTGTATCTGACTTTGTAATAAAAATAAATAAATCTTTTAAAAAATGATTTATTATATATACAGCTTCTCTTCTAGATTATAAAGGTGAATTCAGGAATCACAACTTACCCGACTCTGAATAAAGTGAGTTCTCTTGAATATAGCTAATAAGTGCTTCATAGATGAGAGCTGGGCGGAAGAGCGAGGGGAGAGAGAGCAGCAGGCCACTTGGGACACCCACAGCCCATATTACAGGATCGGGCTTTGACTTCCAGCTGCGTTCCCCAGTCCAGCTTCTTGCTGATACAACACCCTGGAATGGAAAGCAACAAATGATGGCAGGGGCCAGCCATAGGAGACCCAGATTGAGTTATAGTTCCTGTCTGGCAGGGCTCTAACCTTTGAGGCATGGGCCAGAGGTTCTCCAGTTCTCTGCCCTTTAAATAAGTAAAAGACCATTTTAAATAGAAAAAGAGTGAGGGAAGAAAGTGAGGAAGGACTTCAGGGAAAAAAAAAAGAAAAGAGGGAAGTAGGACAGAAGAGGGCCGGGTTAAGGAGATTAATTGACCAGAGATGTTAAGGGAAGGCGGTGGTGACAGGCCTGCATCCCAGTATATACGGTGTCACAGAAATGAACTTATCTATTGCCTCATCCCAAATGGCTGGGGACAGTTTACCTTCGGGCACTACGCAAGTTTGTTGTCCATCAAGGCTGTTGCCTGCCTTCTGTGACAGTCAGAACTCAGCTGCGCAGGCTCCATGGTGATGCAGAGTAGAAACAGGGAGATTCTAAAGGAAAAGTACGGGGAATAGGTTTCTAGCGGCCCTACCAACGTGTTTAATTCATTTCTTAAGTGTCTGTGACAGCTCACTCTTTAGCCGGTAACACTGATGTGGGGGCAAGTCTCTTCTATCTCATGAAAGATCTTTTAGTAAATGGGCCTAACCTTCCAGCCCACTCACGGAGAGCACTCTGTGATGATGAAGAAGAAGGGATCCCCGGAACAAGAACCCCAGGAAGCTAGGATGAGGCCCACGTGTGTGGGAGCAGGGCACACAGCCCTGCCCGTACCCCGGGAGCTTTACGCCTCGGCCCTGATCCCCTCAGAGGAACTTCCAGTAAGACCACACAGGACAGAAGGTGGCAGGGAGGAAGGGCAGCGGGAAGGCTCGGACCCGGTCGCTCCATACCAGAGCCGAGGGCAACCGGGGGAAGGCGAGATTTCAAAGCCTAAAGATTACATTTCAACTGAGTTAACACGTCCTCGCATCACTTGATGAAACGAAATGCCTGAGCGGCTTCAGTCAATGAGCTGGCCCTGCTTGATCAAAGTCCAATTGGTCTAAAGAGACTGGCTGCCGCTCCGAGGGCAAGCACACTTCCATTCTGAGTTTAGATGGCTCACTGTGTGCCCCACAGGCCATTACTAGATGGCTTAAGTCAAGAGGCAGGGAACAACAGAAGGTGAGTCTGGGAACAGACACTGAAAAAAAAGTCTGCCCAACACTGAGATCCTGTGTTTCTTCCCAACACCAGGATAAGAAAATAATACTCCAAAAAGACATGGGGTGAGGTAGAAGAGGAACCCCAGAATCAGACGTCACTATAACACTCTTGTGCCTTAGGAACTTGCAGTGGCAAGGAGAAAAGAAGCAGTGTAGGCTCTTCTCCCTAATAAGCCTCTGGAGTGTGTCTGAGGTGGTACAGAAACACCTAGAGGACAATCACACTCCATCACCTGTGTGACTCTAAACAAGTCACTAAATTTCTGAGTCTCCAGTCCCCGTTCTACAAAACCAAGCTAATTACTATCTACTTCATAGGCAGGGTGCAAAATCAAATGATACTGCAGATACAACACATACAACATGACAGCACAATTAAATGTTAATGATACTGCTGCCCCAACATCCAACTTAACAACTATGGACAAGTTTCTGATGGTAAGAAACATAAACAGAAGGATTCTAGACTCTTATCAGCTATGGCAAAAAGTAAAAAAGAAGAAAAACAGCCAAAGCAGCAAGCTTCTACAAGTGCCTCATGGGATACATGAGCTCCCTGCTGATTTATAACCCCTAAGATCATCAGAATGTTACGCATCATTCAACACAGTCAGGGACAACTTCCTCTGGAAGGGCTTACCTGAGGAAGAACTGTTTCAACAGAACAGGACAGGAAAGGAATCGGGGAGAGCGGCTAACACAAGTTAGCCGGAAAGGGAAGAGCCACGTTCCTGAAGGACCAAAAAGAGAAACGGAAGCGGCACTGCTACCTCCCTAAGACCGACATGGAGTGTCGCCCGCACACGGGTTGGAGGTTCACCTGACGGGCAGGTACTCAGTGGCGGTGAAGGTGCTGCTCGGGACACCCACATCCCACAGCTCAGTTCCTGGGGTTACTTCCCGCTCTGCTTCCAATGCCAGCTCCCTGCTAAACTACCCTAGAAGGCAGCAGGTAACGCCTGCAGCACTTTGGCCCCTGACAGCCAAATGGGAGACTCACGTGCCATCCAGGCTCCTGAATTCAGCCTGCCCAAGCCCCTGTTGCTGTGGGCATCTAGGGAGCAAACCAGGGGATGCAAGATCTTTACATGTCAAGGTGTATGTAGGTCTGTCTGTCTCTGTCTGCCTTTTTCTGTCTCTGATTCTTTCTCTCTGCCTTTCAAATAAAACGAATGAACATCAAAAATGTTCAGGACTATTTATTTAAAGGCCAAGCTACAGAGAGAAGGGGAGATGGAGACGGAGAAAGCTTCCACCTTCACCCAACAAGTGGCCGCCATAGCCAGGGCGGAGCCAGACCAAAGCCTGGACGCAGTGGCCCGGCTGTCTTTCCCAGGACACTAGCAGGGAGCTGGTCTGGAGGTGGAGCAGCCTGGATTTGAACTCGCGTACATACAGGATGTTTTGCATCACAGGCAGCAGCTTTATCCACTTACACAAATTATATAGTTTTTTTAATTAAAGGAGATTCATACAAGGCAAAAACATCAATGCAGGCACAATGAGAATGAGCCAATCTAAAGTTCCACAGACAACCTAAAGCATAACTAAGGTAAATCCTGGTGGGTATGCGGTGGCTGGCTTCTGAAGCCATGGTCCTCAGAGATGAGCAAGGGTGGGCGTGTGAGGAGGAAAAGAGAATGAACTTGACACTGGGTGGTCACAGGACCTTGAAGAGAAGTGTGAAAAGAAAGGGACACAGAATGTGGTAACCAAAATGTAGGAACAGGAACCTTCTCCAAACATTCGCTGGCCGTCTTGCAGAAGGGCCCCTGCACCTGCGGGTCTTCAACAAGACACTGCCACACACTACCTACCGGTACCAACTGAGCACAGGACCTGGGCAGTCCAGTTTAGCTGAATAAGCACACGGCTAAAAGAAGTGATGTCACAGGAAGGCGAGAACAGGACAGGAGCGAAGGCTTTGGATGAGTGGCATCCAACTCTGATGTGCTCAGCACTCTGTCTACTGGGAACAGAAGGCTCTGCCCGTACCTCCGAATACTTTCCTCTGTAGCTGCTCAAGCTTCGTTCCATCCTTCGTAAGCGCTGAATCAACTGTTCTTTGTTGAGACTGTCCGAACCGCCAAGGGCGTCCTCGGCCTCACTCTCCATGTCAGAGGGCGGGTCAAAGGCAGCAGGGGAGCTGTCCAGCTCAAGCCGATTCAAGGACTCCCTGGACGAGGTTCGCACCAAAGACTCTTTGGAAGAAGACCGGAACAGAGATTCCTTGATTGGACTTCGAAACAGAGACTCCATGGAAGGCACCCGGAGCTGGAGCTTCTGTGCAAAAGACTGCGTGTCACCTGACTGCAACCAAAACCAAAAGGAGCATGAGGGTTCAAGTGCACACACGTCATCTCCACCACCCCCAGCCACACTAGGAGATCCACGCTACATACACGGCATTGTATGTAACACACTGCTTTCTGAAACAGTGCGGGAGTAGGCATCAGAGGCCGGGGGTGCGGCTCCCAGCTCTGGCAGCCAGTAGCATGACCTTGACTAAGTCGCTCTGGCCCTGATCTCATGGGAGTGTTGAGAGGGTGTCACCTGAACGATGCTCTCCTTGAAGGCAGTGGCCATTTGGATGCACCATGTTTGCTGCCAGTGCATACCAAGTATGTAAAACACAGGTGTGCACCTTGGCAGGCTCCCACAATGGGGTCGACTGTCTCAAAGACCCCAGGAGTGAGATGCTCAGGGGAGATGGAGTCACAAGCGGGCAAAGATTGTGAAGAAACAAAAAGATGCTCTTCAGCGTAGACTTCTAAAAATCAAACACACACTTATAGAGGTTTAAAGATATTTCTAAGCGACATTAATGATAGTATGGGTTAACCATCCTAACCCGTTAATAGCTGTTGAGAGTAAAGATTGGCCAAAATGGTCTACAGCCTTCACACACCAACAAATTCATTACGGTTCCATACAACAGTAAATCCCAGATAGAATACAAATGTCCAATCACTACAAGACACCTTAGACACTCACGGAAAGAACCTCAAGACACAGTAGACAATGGCAAACAATCTGGATATAAAAGAATGTGTATACTGTGAATTCATTTTGACTTAAAACGTATTATCTTTTTTTTAAAGATTTATTTCTTTTTATTACAAAGTCAGATATACAGAGAGGAGGAGAGACAGACAGGAAGATCTTCCCTCTGTTGATTCACTCCCCAAGCGGCCACAACAGCTGGAGCTGTGCGGATCTGCAGCCATGCGCCCAGAGACTCCTCCAGGTCTCCCACATGGGTGCAGGGTCCCAAGGCTTTGGGCTGCCCTCGACTGCTTTTCCAGACCACAAACAGGCAGCTGGATGGAAAATGGAGCTGCCGGAATTAGAACCGGCACCCATATGGGATCCCAGCATGTGCAAGGCAAGGACTTGAGCAGCTAGGTTATCACACTGGGCCCCAAAGCACATTATTTTTCAATGTATGTATATGCTTGTACAAAGCCTTCGGAAGCAAAACATGAAGGATAAACACCAAAGTTAATGCAGGTACTCCTGAGTAGGATTGGGATTATTTTTCTTCTCATTTGTATATTCATTTATATATAAGGCGGACCCTGGCACTGTGCTGACAGACCACACTCAAACACAGAGACCTGGATTAAGGTTCTGGCTGCACTCAGGCTCAGCCCAGTTCCACCCACTGTGTGCATCGGAAACTACAGCAGCACATAGGGGTGCTCTCTCGCTCTAGCCAACAAATTAATTTTCAGAAAGAAATTGTATTTCTTTTAAAATCTTCCTTCCAGATGATATGACTCAACATGTTTCTAGCATGGCTGTCACTATGATTTCTTGAAACTGTAAAGTCAGGGCCCTGTGTGATAGCTCAGTGGCTACATCCTTGCCTTGCATGTGCCAGAATGGCATGTGGGCGCTGGTTCATGTCCCAGCTGCTCCTTCCCACCCAGCTCCCTGCTTGTGCCCTGGGAAAACTGTAGGCCCCGGTCTCCCAAGGGTTAACACCACAGCTTAACTTCTTTCTCAAGGTGTAACAGAATGGGCAATCTTGGCCTGATGCACTCAGCCCCCGGCTTCTCTGGCAAGTTCCCTCCTTCCTGCTTCCCCTTGTTGCATGTCCTTGGGGGAGCTTAGGTGTGGCTTAGCAATCTCCTTCCTTCCTGCTTCCCCTTGTTGCATGTCCTTGGGGGAGCTTAGGTGTGGCTTGACCATTGGGAGGATCCTGGGAGGGGCCAAGCAGACTATAAAAGATGCAGCTTGACTTCAAATAAATGGCATTCTCCTCACAGGAATGACCCACTGTGTCTGTGTGTTGTCTGTTGTCTGTCTCATAACCCTAGTCCCTCCGCTCGACTCGGAATACGTGGTGCACGACTCGGGATACGTGGCGACGCGGGCGTTGCCAACAGAAAACAGTAGAGGACGGCCCAAAGCCTTGGGACCCTGCACCTGCGTGGGAGACCCATACGAAGCAAGCTCCTGGCTCCTGACTCCTGGCTCTGGATTAGCTCTGCCCCCCAACCACTGTAGCCACGTGGGGAGTGAACCAGCAGATGGAAGAGTTTTCTCTCTCTCCTTTTCTCTGTAAATCTGCATTTCCAATAAAACTAAATAAATATTCTTTAAAAAACCTATAAGGTCAGATTTCATTTTTGTTAATGCATTTACTTTATTTCCCTTAAATTTTAAAACGAGAAATAAGTGGATATTAAATCCAGATTAAACTTTTTCCAGGAAACAAGAAACACAGTTTCATTGGCAATACATATTATTTCACATGTCTGAACACTACAGTTTCAATGGAGATTCAAATACTTATACAAATACAGATTGACCAATATCCTGAATTGCATTTAAAAAAAATTAGGAACAGACCTGATGAATGGTTGGCTCACTTCCATTAACACTGTCAGAAGAGCTCCTGGCGTAGGCAGACGCATTCTAAGGAAACAAAAGAAATAAGGAAGAGGAATAGAACACCAGCCTGCAACAAAAGCAAAATCCAAGTATCAAGACTCACTGGACACATTTATCTATTAAACAAAATTAGTAATTGTTCATTTATTAATATTTTCATGCAAGGCAAGACTAGTATGGTGAGTATTTTAGAAAACTCAATTTACTATATTTATAACTAAATAGCAGAGATTAGTAACAAAAATTATTTCAAGCTAATCACACAGCCCATCTCTAATTTTTCTCTCCCATACAAAATCCAATACCAGACACTCATTAGCAAAATTTAAGTAAAAAACCTATCTTGAAAAAGAAGTAATCTCAATTATTCCCTAAAATAACAAATTTATTTGGTTAACCAATAAGGAATATCTTGATAATAAGTAATGAAACCAGGCCCAGTGCAGTAGCCTAGCTGCTCAAGTCCTCACCTTGAACATTCTGGGATCCCATATGGGTGCCGGTTCTAATCCCGACAGCTCCATTCCCATCCAGCTGCCTGTTTGTGGCCTGGGAAAGCAGTCAAGAACGACCCAAAGCCTTGGGACCCTGCACCCATATGGGAGACCAGAAAGAAGCTCCTGGCTTCAGATGGGCAAAACTCCAGCCATTGTAGTCACTTGGAGACTACAATCAGCAGATGGAGGATCTTCCTGTCTGCCTCTCCTCCTCTCTGTATATCTGACTTTGCAATAAAAATAAATAAATATTTTTTAAAATAATAATAAGTAATGAAACTGCCACATTCATTTGAGGACAGCAATCTAAATGAAACTGTTGGGACAGTATCAGAAAAGCTTCTAACGTAAAACTTCTCCCAAGTTGAAACCTGTTTGCTTTCCTCAGTTGATAAGGCAAATACCCAAGATAAGCACCATCCTACTGGTTAGAATGTTCATGGTTCGTGGTAAGGAATGAAATTCCTTAAGATTCAAAATTCTACACTACAATCATGATGTATAGAACTAATCATCAAGCTATGGTGAGAGCTTTAGAAACAGCTCATGATAAAATACCTCCATGTTTTACAGGCATGGCGACAAAGACAGCTCTGGCCACCTTGCTCGGCAGCTTGGCAGCCTCCCTGGCACGCTTCTCCCCACTCTGATCTGGCCTGACTCTTCCATAGCCACACAGATGGCACAGAGCTCTACAAAGCGCATCTCCGGTTCCTGAACTCTGATGTATTTGACACAAACTACTGCGCTATGATATACATAAGATGTCTACATGATGCTAGTCTATCATTTAAATACTAACCGAAGCACTAGGGAACGGGACAGGATTTGTAAAATCTGCTTCAAACACCAAGGGCGTGGGCTGCCCGCGTGGGGAGGGCTCTGGCGGTGCAATCAGAAAGGAGAGCGCGTGGCAGGTGCGCAGGGCCGGGAGCCAACTGCTGCCCGGAGATCACGATAAGGGGACAGGGGCAAGTTTTGCTCTACTGTCACTCCTGTTTCCACTTTTGTAATGTATTTCAATTTTTTCTTAATAAAAAAAAAAAAAACACCTTCTTTTCAAGAGAAGCATGAGTCGAATTGTATCAGTCTAAGACTTTCCTTAAAGTCACACGGGAAAGAAGGCTTGAGAGAACACAGGGAGAAACTTTTCCCGTTTTGTTCTCTGCCATTTGAAGAATTTTCAGTGGGTCACAAGGAATATCACCCGTACCTGTGCAGTGTCACAACATAATCCTAAACACTATACAATCCAAAATATATTCTACAGGGCTCAACAATTCTCCCAGCCAGTCAGTATACGAACACGTAAATTATGGACAAAGAACATGAAGGACTTCCTAACACATGTGAATAAGCAGGAAGAATGGCAAGAGGGAGAGTCTACACTCTGTCTAAAGTAAATGACACAAAACATGATGGTGATCTCCACAAGCCAGTCCACCATCATCGGAAACATATAGCCCAACATTCGAAAATGTCCCCTCTCTGCATATGTATTTCAACTTGTACTACTATGCGATACAAATCAAATCAGGTGGGCGACCTTTAATATGCCAAGCGCCACTGGGATACTTACAACCTTATCTGCAGGTTATACAAAATTATCAACTTAAAAATTAGTGCATGGGCCCGGCGCAATGGTGGCACAGTGGTTAAGGTCCTCACCTTGCACGCCCGGAATCCCATATGGGCGCATTCTAATCTCGGCAGCCCCACTTTCCCATCCAGCTCCCTGCCTGTGGCCTGGGAAAGCAGTCGAGGACGGCCCAAAGCCTTGGGACCCTGCACCCACGCGGGAGACCCAGAAGAGGCTCCTGGCTTCGGATTGGCATAGCATCGGCCATTGCGCTCACTTGGGGAGTGAATCATTGCACAGAAGATCTTCCTCTCCTCTCTGTCTCTCCTCTCTGTATATCCGCCTTTCCAATAAAAATAAAATAAATCTTTAAAAAAAAAATTAGTTCACTGTAGGTATATTAAGCTTGCCCGTGGTCGCACTAGCAGAGCCAGACTCGACGACTTCCTGAGCCTTCCAGGCCCTCGTGCTGAATGTCCCCCAACCCTGATTTAAGAAAAGGCAGGACAGCTAAGGAGAGTCCTGGCTTAGTTTGCCCTCTAAATCGAAACCAGGCATTTCGAGAAGCAAAGTGAGATTTTGTCACGGCCTGTAATGTGGTCTCAACTTGCGGCCTGGCAAACGCCCGTTGCACTGTTCCACCTGCAGGGAGCTGTCTGTGGCTTGCCTGGAGTGAAGCCATCACATCCTTGTGCCTGTCGCTTTTTCACGCCTCTGCACCACCAGGGCACGCTCACACACGGGTCTCCACTTTAAACTAGGATCTTGCAGAGCACAAAGTCCTACATCTGCATGCCAGTCCCCAGGACCTAACGCTTCACCTGTGAGTGCACAAGAAATCCTCTCTAGTCCCTTCTTTCTCAAGGCCTTCCTCCAGACAGAAGTCTGAAGAACCAACTCAACACACACCAACACTCAAGTCACCAATGTTTTCTGCTGGAGGAAATTCTTCAATTGCGGGAAATCCTTTGGAAGCATTTAAATAGTACACATGACAGTGTATTTCACTTAAAAACACAAATTTCTTGCCAGGTTTGTTCTCAATTACATTTTTTTTCCATCTTTCAATTATTTTATTGACTGCAAAGCACTAAGGAATGACAACACAGGTTTTAGAATTTGGGGTAAAGAGATGCCTAAAAAAAAAAAAAAAAAACACAGGGCCCAGCACAGTAGCCTTGCGGTTAAAGTCCTCACCTTGCACATGCTGGGATCCCATAGGTGCTCTAATCCTAGTGGTCCTGCTTCCCATTCAGCTCCCTGCTTGTGGCCTGGGAAAGCAGTCTAGGACAACCCAAAGCCTTGAGACCCTGCACCAGCTTGAGAGATCTGGAAGAAGCTCCTGGCTCCTGGCTTAGGATCGGCTAAGCTCCAGCCACTATGGCCACTTGGGGGGTGAAGCAGTGGACAGAAGATCTTCCTCTCTGTCTCTCCTCCTTTCTGTAAATCTGACTTTCCAATAAAAAATTTTAAAATAATCTTTTAAAAAAACAGAATTGAGACTGGGCAGAGGAGGGCGTGAGTCCCGGGCCTCCTGCACCCACTTGGCAGACCCGGATGTAATCTCAGTCTCACCCTGAGAAGTTTCCTTCCTAAAGTTAGATTTAGAATGTAATGTAAGGTTGCTTGTGGCCATTTGCATACCGAGTTTTATCCGGCTACGCGGGTTTGGTACAGAAACGTTTTCTCATTTTTCAGAAGATCTAAATCCCGCTTCAGTCAGTACCCAATCTAACACTAAAAGCCATTTTTAGTGGGTGAATTGCTCTAAAGTTTAACCTGCCAAAGCATGGACTTCTCAGATACTTTAATGAAATTATACACAAGATTCAAAATCATGTGAATTCAGTCAGCGGAGAAACAATGGTAGCTGTTTCCTTTCAGAAATTCAATGGACACAAAACTGATGCAACAGACACAAAACACGATGCAGTTATTTTCGATTGTAAACTCCATCTATTTAATGTGCTTTAATTACAAATGTGTGTAACAACAAATTCCCCCTCAAAATGTGAGTCAGACTTCAAAATATCCTCCCTTGGGAGAAAACAGGTTAGCCCAAGAGAAGGTGGCCCCTAGCGATTTAGTAGGTGTTATTTCATCGCTGTTAAAAAGCTACGAGGAAGCACAACAGCCATCAGAGTCCAGCAATTCACCCTCTGATTTCTTAGAAAAGTGTTATTAGCAAACACACACTGCAGGTGCTTCACGAGAAGGTGAGTGACGGGCGGCAGGTGTTGCATCCCGCCAAAGGGGATGCAGAAAGCGGCGGGAGGACTCACCACACGGCCACTCTGGGGTTTAGGCTCTTTGGAGGAATCCAAAGCAAAGATAGTGTATTCAGAGAGAAAAGCAGGCTCTGCTATCATCCCGGCTAGTAGCTGTCTCATTCAGGGCAATCCAAAACAAAACACAAGACGAAAAACAAATCATCATGGCACGTTGCAAAGTGTTCTCGTCGCACAGCACGCCTAACACCGGAAGGGCCCTCACTCGCCCACCCCCTCCCTGCCCCCAGCAGCAACAGCAAGCTGCCGGGGTGGGGGGGGTGGTGGGGGGAGATCAGAAATGCAGTTGAGTTAAACACGCAACATGAATAAATTCTCGAGCTATTCCACACGGTGTCGTTTCTATGGCTAACGGGGCATAACAGACATCTCACACTTTCAAGGAAGCAAGATCTTCTACGTGTTCTTACCACGATAATATAATGGTAACAATGATGCCAACAGAGTGGGGGAACTCGGGGAGGTGATGGACAGTCCATAGCTTTGATGGTGGTGATGGTTTGAGCCTGCAGAAAGCCCCTGGTCCTGGCTTTGGCCTGGCCCATGCCCAGTCTTGGCAGCCACTTGGGGAGTGAACCAGCAGGTGGAATCTCTCTTTATCGCTATCTCTCCCTCTATCTCTCTGTAACTGTTTTTTAAATTAATAAACTTAAAAAAAAAAGAACAGAAAGAGATTATATATCATGATTAAGTAGGATTTACTACTGTAATGAAAGATTAACATCTGAAAATCCTTTAATGTGACACACCATATTTAACAGAATAAGAATTCAAACACCATACACATATCAACAGACACAGAGGACATAACAGACAAAATTCAAAGTTGCCTCATCATAAAAAACATTCGGCAAAGAAAGGACAGAAGGGAATAGCAATATGATTAAAAACTTACATGGAATTACATGAAAAAGGAGAAAGAACAACCAAGACATTCAACAAGAGCAGAGTAGAAAGCCATGACTACAAGATCTACATGACCTACAAGAATTAATGGAAGATGAAAATGATATTAAGACTCATCGTGCTGGGGGCCAGCAATGGTGGCTTATCAGGCTAATCCTCCACCTGCAATGCCAGCATTCCTTATGGACACCAGTTCAGGTCCCAGCTGCTCCCTGCTCGTGGCCTGGGAAAGCAGTGGAGGATGGTCCAAGGTCTTGGGATCCTGAACCCACAGGTGAGATCCAGAGAACATCCTGGCTTCAGATCAGCTCAGCTTCAACTATTGTGGCCATGTGGGGAGTGAACCAGTGGAATAAAGACTGGTCTGTCTCTCTCCTCTCTACAAATCTGCCTTTCAAATAAAAATAAATAAGTATCAAAAAGAAAAGACTTACAATACCAAATCAAAGTGAACAACGCAGCAACAAAGGAGCAGATGCAGAGCTCAGAAACAAAGCTACTCACAGATGAACTGCTGATTTCTGTACAAGCACAAAAAAAGCAGTGTGCAGAAAGATCTGACATCGCACAGACAAACAACAGGACGTGAACCCTGACCCCTCACACCATCCCGAGGGATCATTTCCGGGTGGGGTATACATACATCCATCTAAGTGCAAAAAGCAAAACAATACAGGACAACCTTCTCAGTGTCAGAAAATGATTCTTTTAAAGGCCTTCATCCATGTATTGGAAAGGCAGAGACACAGAGCCCCTATGTACCACTTCACTCCACAAGTGCCTGCAGTGGCCTCAGCTGGGGCTGAGGCTGAGAGCTGTGAACTCAAGCCAGATTTCTCATGAGCACGGGTGGAATCCAATCACTGGACCCACCACCTCTGCTCCCAGGATGGACATGAGCAGAAGCTACCGTCAGAAGCAAGCCAGGCACTGCAGCCGGGCATTCAGACACAGGACACAGGCCTCTTCGTGCCAGGCAAAAACCTACTGCGGGTTACTCCCCAACCCCCACCACAACAACAGCAAAGAACACTGGCCATAAAATAAAATATTGATATACTGGAAAAAAAATCTTAAAACTAAGAATTTTTGGCTCATCAAGGAATACCATTAAGATAATGAAAGACAAACCAGAATGAAAGAATACATTTGCAAGATACAGATCCCGGAAAAACTTATAGCCATGTTATATAAAAAGAACTCATACAAATTAATGAGAAAAAGTTAACCCAAAAGAAGAAAAGGGCAAGGCACTTAGCATAGCCTTTTGTAAAAGGATGAATCAGTGATCAATGAACAAGTGAACAATGCCCAATCTTACTAATCTTCAGAGAAATACAAGTTAGAGCACAAAGGCCACAGCACATTACCAGAACATTGAGATTTAAAAAAGAAAAAACTATAAATGCCAGGGCGCAGGAGCAACTTGCATCAAGTCCTTGCGGGGAGGAAAATCTCTAGAACCACCCTGGGGAACCATGGCTGCAGCTCCTTCCAAGCGGGCAGAGCAGCTCCTTCCTCTGAGCCAGCACACAACCAACAGGAACCAGAAGAAACGCAGAGCAGCCAAGCACTGGGGACAAGCCAACGTGTCCATCGAGGAAGGCAAGAGGCAAATACTACCCCATTCCAGGATGGTGGTGCTCCCGCTGGGAGAGGGAAGGGAGCACTGAATTTCCAGTGGTGCCCCTTTTCCTGACCTGGATGGTTGGAACACAGGAATCCACTTCATGACAAGTCATCAACCTATGCACTTACATGGTACCCTCCTCTGGTATACCTGGGTTATACATCACAGGGAAGAAATGAGGTTTAAAAAAAAAAAAGAATTTCGGTGCCAGCTCCTAGCTACACGGAAGCAGTGATGGGACTCCTCAGTTTTTCACTCACCAGTCTGAAAATGCAGGACTTTCCCCCATAAGATGATACATTAAACAAATTGTTATTAAATTATTCTGAAAGTTTTAAATGCTAAATGCAGGATATATTACTCCTTCAAAGAACTTAGAACTAATCACATAATTAATAGAAACAGTATGTAGGAATTACATAATTGGCCTATCAAAATCACTGCCCATTTGATCAGCAGCAGCGTTACACTACATTCCAGAACAATTCCACTTCTTCTGAGGGGGATTTTTAAGCAGAAATTTCGAGCTTACCTCTCTATTGGGTGTGCCTTCATCAAGCTGCTCTGTAAATGAGGAGGTCCTGGTCCTGGTGCTTGTTGGTGTTGAAGAACCAGAGGGAGCCTAGAGTGAAGAGTTATTGCACAGATTAGAAGGACTGACATTACCAAGTGCACTATGGACAGGGTACTTCCTAGTCCGGGTCAAGCTCCGTGACTCAATGAAATGCAAAGAGCAGACACAGGACAAAGAGTAAAGGAGAACGGTTCTATGGACCAGCTGCAAGACCTGGATACTTACTCTGCCCTTGGCCTGACTCTGCCATCCACCAGAACTGTGATCCTAGCTAATTTTTTGAAAGCCATGTCTCTTCACTTATGAAATAATTGTGATGGTAACAAAATAAGGATGATTTTAGGGAAACTGAGGCCAAGTGCTCTAGCCTTCTCTGTACTATCCCTGGATCTGCCCAAGCTGCACACACACTGCTCTGGGGTGAGAGCTCACCACACACATGCAAACACACGATGACACACTTAGTTCACAGCAGATGTAATACCACGGGGGGAGAGACACATCAGATCCCTACCTCACACTTACTCTAAAGATTTAAAAGTTTATTTGAACACTAAACAAAAAAAGGCAGTCTATTTCTACAATCTCTGATCACAAAAGTTTCATGACCAACGTCTTTTCTATAAAGTGCTCCAATAAGTCCACTGGTGAGAACTTAGAAAACTTACTAACCCAGTCACTGTATCTGGGCTTACCCAAGCTCCTTCAGACAGACACACCCGTGTGTGACTCTGAGTCATAAGTAAGCAATATGAGAAAACAGACGTGGAGAAATGCAGTCCATCGTCTGGCAAGCGTGAAGACAGAACTTCCCGCAGCCTTAGGAGAAGCAACGCTGCTGTAGACTCAGGCAGCTGCACCATGCTTACCAGGGCAACCCCCAAGCGAGGCAGGAGGCAGCCATCAGCCAAACACTGTCCCCTTAAGGGACGTCTGTAATCTGTAGAATGCCTTGAACAAATTCCTTCTCTGCATACCAAGATGGGCTGAGTTTCATCCTAAAACTGAGAACTCTAACACACACAAAACAATAGGACGAGAAGGGGGGCATTCTGCATTCTAGCTTCCTGGACTAAGGCAAGGCGGATAGCTGAAGTATTTGGGTTCTTGCCACAACACACAGGAGATCTGGATTGAGTTCCTGGTCCATAGCTTCAGCTCCGCCCAATCACAGCCCTTGCCGGTATCTGGGACCCCGGGCTCAGGCTCTCCTGCATTAGGCTGCCACTTCCGGTGCTCAGAGCCCATAACTGGAGTGCCTGGAATCAGGTCCTACTCCATTTCTAACCCAGCCTCTCACTGATGACGGGCCCCACCCTGGCTGTGGCAGGCATCTGAAGAATGAGCCAGCACTTAGGGAAGATCCTCTCCTCCTCTTCTCCTCCTCTTTTTCTCTTCTCTTCTCTTCTCTTCTCTTCTCTTCTCTTCTCTTCTCTTCTCTTTTCTCTCTTCTCTCTTTTCTCTTTTCTCTTCTCCCTCACTTCCCATCCAGCTCCCTGCTTGTGACATGGGAAAGAAGTAGAGGGTGGCCCAAAGCCTTGAGACTCTGCAACCATATGGGAGGCCTGGGAGAAACTCCTGGCTCCCAGCTTTGGATTTGTACAGCTCCCGCCATTACGGCCGCTTGGGGAGTGAAACAGTGGACAGATCTCTCTGTCTCTCCTTCTCTCTGCAAATCTGCTGTTCCAATAAATACATCTTTTCAAACTGGGAAGGGAAAGTAGTTGCTGGACGGTGTTTATTCCAAGCCTACTGTTAAGTGAAATTTCAGACTAAGTCTAAAATCACTTTTACTCAAATTAACGGAAGGGACTGGTGCTGTGGTATAACAGGTGAAGTTGCTACTTTAACACCAGCATCCCATACTGGTGCTGACTGGACACCTGGCTGTTTCACTCCGGATCCAACTCACTGCCAAGGTGCCTAGAAAAAGCAGGGAAAGATGCCTTAAATCCTGGGACCCCTGCAGCCACCTGGAGACTCGGGTGAACGTCCTAGTTCATGGCTTCAACCTAGCCTAGCCCAAGCTGTGGTGGCCATTTGGGGAGTGAACCAGGGGATGCAAGACTTTCTCTCCATGTAACTCTGCCTTCCAAATAAATAATTTTTTTTAATTCACAAGAAATTCAATAAACCTTCTACCTACAGCCACAGTCTTGCAATCAGGCAGGTCCAAGGTTGTTAAGTGTCTCCAGGTTGTCACTCTGAGCAGGAGGAGCTTATCAGGACAGATTTCACAGCTTCATGTCAACTCTAGGAACAGGGTTACTGAGGGGATAGAAGACTAGAAGGTAATTAGAAAGGCAATACCAGAATAAAGGAGCTATCTCTTGACCGACCACCTCTCTGTCACTCCAACATTAAGAAATCTTTGAATCATTAATTCAGCTATCCAAAGATCTGGAAGTCAGGAAAGGGCTACCCCAGAGAGCGACCCCCCAATCCTGCGAGAAACATATTCCACTGTAAATTTTCGAAGCTGGCATGACATCCTTCAGCTTGGCTTCACACGAATCTAGTCGGCCACTGAGCACACCCAGGAGCCACCAGAAACAGACAAAAGCAAACGATGGAGCTCACGCAGGGGAACGAGAGGTTCTAGAACACCCTGCCCTCAGAAAAGGAGCATCGCGTGGAACAGCCCGACCTGCTGGCTTCCCGCTCCTCCTCTGCAACTCCAAGTAAAGGGCACACTAAGGAAAAGGCCCGGCACGAAGAGCCGAGAGTACTGGAGCATGTGGCCTGGGGCGCAGCCACTGCGGAGTGTCTGTGTCTGATCCCCGGCTCAGTGCTTGCTACTGGAGACCCTGGAACACAGCAGCAATGGCTCCAATAACTGGGATCCTACCACGCATGTGTGAAACCTGGATTGAGCTCCTGGCTCTCAGATGCTGACCCTCCACCCCGGCCCCTGTGGGCATTTGGGAGCTGAACCAGCACACAGCAGTGCTCTTTCCAGCTGCCTCCCAAACAATTAAAAAAGAAGAAAAGAAATAACTTAGGTTCTTCAAACCACATTTGAGCTCACTAATCCTCCCAGCCATTAGAAATCTGTGAAGTCAGACTCCTAAGCTATTTGTCAAGAAATGTGATGGCCTGCATCTAGGCTCACAATTAATGCTTCCCCACCACTTAAATAAGGACTCATCACAAGTCTCAAGTCAACGTAGAAAAAAACAGCATGGTCACTGTTTCAGGAAAACACAGCAAAAGAAAAGCTGCTGCAGATGGCAGAGGATGTAGGGACTGAAGAGAGAGGAGTTAAAGAATAGTTTATTGAGGGGGATCACGAAGAGAAGTGCAGTCTGGGGCAGCTATAGGGCAAATGCAGCCCCCTGCCAGGATAACCAGATAGACCTGGACTTTCTCGAGAAATACTGACTGACACTCTAGACTGACTTAGTGCCCGTTGACCCCACAGAGCTTGCGGTAAGCTAAGGGGCTGCCCGGAGCCTGCATCCATCTCTGTGTACCCAAGTTCGAGTCCCGGGAGCATGCTGAGATGCTGCAGATGACGGCTCCCCTCCAGGTGGGAGACCGAGATTCTAGGTTCAGCTTCAGCTTGGCCCATCCCCGGCTATTGTGGGCATCTAGGGAATGAAAACAGCTGATGGAAGTTTCTGTCTGCTTTGTAAATGAAAAAAATAACCATCTTGTGTGTCAACTCAGAGCTTGTAGTCGGCAATCTGAGTTTTTTATCTTCTTGTCCAAAAATTGGGAATGATGGCACCTGACCTGCTCACCTGTTTGGTTGGTTGTGTTTGAAAGCAGTTGTAACAGAAGACCACATGCTTATTTAACAGGGTTTGCAAGAAAGGTAGGTCATTGTCATGGGTTTGAGAGACAAGTATTTCCACTGGGAAATCGGTGTGTGCAACGGTCTTGTGGCTGCATACAGCAAATCATTCCAAAAGAGCAAGGATGGGGCCCAGCACAGTAGCCAAGTGGCTAAATCCTCCCCCTGGCAAGCACCAGATCTCATATGGGCACCAGTTCGTGTCCCAGCTTCTCTACATCCCATCCAGCTCCCTGCTTGTGGCCCAGGAGTTCAGCGGAGAATGGCCCCAAAGCCCTGGAATCCTGCATCCGTGTGGGAGACCCTCAGTAAGCTCCTGGCTTCTAACTTCAGATTACCTCAGCTCTGGCCATTGTGGTCATTTGAGGAATGAAACAACAGATGGCAGATCTTTCCCTGTCTTTCCTTCTCTCTGTAAATCTACCTTTCCAATAAATAAATAAATAAATAAATAGATAAATAGACAGACAGACAGATAGGGTAAGGTTGACATCTAGATATAGTCTTGATGGATAGTGAACAATCATAGACCAAGGAAAAGGTATCCAGGGTTTATTATTCCCAAGACTACATTAGTTTTCTAATGTTGCATAATAAGTTGTCAAACCTTCAGGCCTCATAACCGGATACGATGGCACAGCTGTACAGGTCAGATGCTCCGTCTGTTGTGATGCTGGAACATCTGGTATGTCAAACACCTGCTTCCAATGCATGGTCCTCTGATTCCTTCATCTACCTCTGTAGTATTTTTTTTTAATTAGATATAAACTACTTTCTTTAAGATTTAAAAAATACAGAGTTGACAGAGAGAAGGAAAGACAAAGAGGTCTTTCATCTGCTGTTGACTCACTCTGCAAACAGCTACAACAGCCTGAGAGCTGGGCCGCTCAGAAACCAGCTGCTTCTTCCAGGTCTCCCACATGCGTGTAAGGGCCCAAGCACTTGGGCCATCTGCTGCTGCTTTCCCAGGCCACTACCAAAGAGCTGGATAGGAAGTGGAACAACCAAGACTCGAGCTGGCACCCATATGGGATGTATGTGCCTGGCTTCTGTCTTCATCCTGATCTCTTTCTCTCTTAATCTCTCTCTCTCTGTGTCTCTAACTTTGAGAAAAAGAAAACACATCTAGTATTCTCAGAGAGGTAAAAGATTTTACATGTAGAACAAGAACCATGCTATGACAAAAGCAAAAGACAGCAGGAACAGCCCTGAGAAATTTTAAAGTAAATCAATCAAATATAAAAATCCAAAG